CCTGGCCCACAGCATTTGGGTCTTCTCATTTTCATTGCCCAGGGCTGGTGCAGCCTGAGTCCCCTCCACCACGTGTCATGTGACCTCGGGGGCAGCTGTTTCTAAGCCCCTGCTCCCCCAGACTCTGAATTTCTGGAGTGAGCCCCACGTAGAGGCACAGCGATAACTCAGTGAACCGCTGTCACGGGAAGGGCTGGAGAGAGATCAGGACTCTTCGGGTGAACCTGGATTCTGAGCCGTCAGTGAGAGCAGTGAAGAGAGCCTGGAACGTGGGCCTGAACTAACGTCATATCTGGTGTCCTGTGAGCCCGAGCCCCTTCCTCTGTGACTTCTGGGGCCACAGTCCAGCCCAACAGGACCCATCGGTGCAGAGGAGAATCGACATCGCCCAGCACAGAGAAACTGGGGCCGGAGCCAGGCTCGGGCTCGTGCTCCATCTCTCTCTGGGTCCATCTCACAGAGTCTGTTTCTCTCAGTCTACGTCCATATGTCTGAGTCTTTCGCTCTTCCCGATCTCTTTCTACATTCCTCTTTCTCTCAACAGAATTGTCACTCTGACCCTCTGTCTCTTTCTCTATAGCACCCACTGTCCTGGAGAATGGCTCATCTCTGCCAGTGCTGGAGGGCCAGTCCCTGCGCCTGGTCTGTGGTGTCAGCAGCAACCCCCCTGCCAGGCTGAGCTGGACCCGGGAAAGCCTGACCCTGTACCCCTCGCAGCCCTCGGGACCTCTTTCGCTGGAGCTGCCTCGAGTGCATCTCAGGGATGAAGGAGAAGTCACCTGCCGAGCTCACAACCCTCTGGGCTCCCAGCACATCTCCTTGAGCCTCTCCCTGCAGACTGAGGACCCAGGTGGGTGGGGGAGAAATGGAGAAGAGCACACCTCCCCACCTTTGGTGTCCACCCAGCAATCCCTTAATCTAAAGGGAGGCTCAGCCGTGAGGCCTGGAACTTCCTTGTGACCCTGAGCATCACTGTCCTCTTCCTGCCTGGCAAGGGGCCTGGGGTGGGGCGAGGGGCAGAGGTGGACCTTGGAGAGGAGGGGCTGGGGCTGGACAGGGGTGTTTGGGAAGACAAGGTCCTTGCTCTGCAGGGCTGGGACTAGGGTGAGACACATCAGGAACTCTACTTGGGCTCAAAATTTCAGAAGACATAAGGACAAACCAGTCAGCAATCAAAGGAAGTAATATTGCTATGTAATGATTTTTTTAAAACAGTAAGTTGAACACCAAGAAATCAATGATGAACAAAATTTCAAAATCTTAAATAAAGAAAGGCTGCAGCAGCACTTCCATGTGTGACTGGTCCCACCAGCAGCCTCCCCCCTCCTCCCTCCCATCCCAGTTCTTTGCTCTGAGATGGGGAAGGGGAGTGGAGCCCAGGGCCCTACAGGGCTGGGGGTAGGAGAGACCCAGCACTTGCAGGTGAGTCACCAGAGTTGCTCTCCTGCATCTGCAGCCACAGTGCAGCCTGTCTCCGGGGTGACGCTGGGGGCTATCTCGGCAGCTGGAGTCAAAGCCCTGGTCTTCCTGTCCTTGTGTGTCATCTTCATTGTGTAAGCATTGACCTTGGGGGGAGGGCAGACAGGGGCAGAGTCCCTGCTGTCAGAGCTGGAGGGAGCTGGGTGGATCCGGAGCATGAAGCAAGGGCAGGGAGGGGGTCAGGGGTGCACAGTGAGAATTGCACCGGCTCCCTTGTGTTGGGGTCTCCTAGTCTATGGCAAACCTGGGACCCCCCCCCTATCAAGGAGAGAGGTGCCTGTGTTCTTAGTATTGGCATCTGTGTGACTGGTAACCTCTGTCCCACCACGGTCACCCCTCCAGCCCCTTACTAGGAAACAAAGTGGGTCACCCTGCCCACTGTGCCCTCATCTGCCCAGACTGAGGCTCTCTGGTCTGTCCTCTCAGCGTGAGGTCCGGCAGGAGGAAGGCAGCAAGAACAACAGCGGGCGTGGGGGACACGGGCGTGGAGGAGGCAGACGCTGTCAGGGTCCCAGGATCTCGGGTGAGTGACATGGGCGTCTCCACATCCAGCTTCCTGCCTGGACACCTCCCACAGGATGGCCTCCAGGATTGCTCAACTGGGCATGGCAAAAGTTGCTTCCTCATCTCCTCCTCCATAAAAGCTGCCGCCCCTGCAGCATTCCCCATGGCACCCACAGCACAGAAGCCCCTCCCTTCTGCTTCCTCTACGGACAGACACACCAGAAGCCTTACCTCCTGTATGTCCTTTCTTTCTTCTCCTGTGGCCAAAACTTCACCATGTCTTGCCCATTTTTCTCCTCAGAACAGCCAGCATTGGTCCCCACTCTCCATCCTGACCCCTCTCATTGCTGAGGCCTCAGGTTCTCTTCTTGGACCCCTCCCTCAGGTCTCTGCCTCTTACCTCCCCTTCCCTGTCTAGAGGGATTGTCCAAAAGCCATCACTGCCCTGCCCCCTTCATTTATACAGCTGCTCCCCCACCCCCAACTCTGCTAGAACAGAGGCCAGGAAACCTTTTCTGTAAGGGCCAGATGGTTAAGGTGTTTGGTTGTGTGGACTATATAGTCTCTGCTGCAGCTACTCAACTCTGTTGTAGTATGAAAGCCACCGTAGACCATGTGTAAATGATGAGTTTAGCTGTGTTGCAATAAAACTTTATTTACAAAGGCAGGCAGT